ATCACAATTAACGAATATCACCTAGACCTAATACCTTTTGAAGATGATTTATTATCCTTGGAATTAGATAATACATTTAGGGATCTTTATCTGGTATCCCTTTTTTTAATTCTAATCGATTTTTGACATGGTTAATATCTGTTAAATATAGTAATCATTTTTTACTTGGAAATAAAAGGATGGTGATTATACTTCAATTTATTATGTGGCGAGAGCGCTCATGAAATTGCAATCATCATTTGGGCTATTTCCAAGAATAATAGGCAAGGGGGATTGTGCCAAGGTTTGAATTATTATATATGAATCTAGTTAGTAATCTACTAAACGGTTACTTATAAATACTCACTTTAATTTAGCATCTTGCTGATATGCTCATTCGTATGCGTCGTGAGGTTGCTGTAGATGATCCATCATCTTCATTATCGATCTCTCAAAGTGTAGATTCACTTATCATTATCGATAGATCGGTTGACCTCATAACACCTTTATGTACTCAATTGACCTATGAAGGATTGATAGACGAAGTATTTGGTATCAGAGCCTCACATGTGGAGGTGGATTCTTCGATCGTTGGACCTGCGCCAACAACTACAGTAACATCTACAACTACTAGCACTCCTTCTCAGTCACAACCACCTATTCAACCTCAGTCAAAAAAAAAAAAAATTGCTCTCAATTCTGGCGATAAATTATTTGCCCAATTAAGAGATACAAATTTCGCAGTAGTGGGAGGTGTTCTTAACAGAGTTGCTAAAAGAATAAACGAAGATTATGAGGTTTATTTTATGTTTCCGTATTTCGGTGTTATCGATTAATGAAATTTTTATAGCAATTATATTTATTCATTTGGTATATTTATAGGAAAGAAAAAAAGCTAAAACTATGATACAAATTCGTGAATTCACTAACAGGCTGGGCAGTCTACAATTAGAACATCAATCTTTAAAAATTCGTATCCTTTTGTACAAGTTGAGTACTTAAATTTTCGCATACTTTTTTATAATATTGTCCTTAACAAAATGGTCAGATACCGGTGTAGCTGAAGAGATAATGGCGCACACTGTTACACCAGAATTCAATAAAGCCCTAGAGGTGCAGCAAAGTATATATATTTTTTTAATCACGTTCTTTATTATTTTTTTTGTTTACATTTGATTTTGGATTTTAATTATTTTAATCACCATTATCTTTACAGATTTGGTTGCCGGTATAGACGTTAACACACAAAATGAACACATAGAGGAAATGATCAATCGGCAGGTTCCAATTACTCAAGTTTTACGATTATTATGTCTA